AAATGCAGTGCGCTACCATTGCATTTCTTTGTATTTACGAAGAGGCTTATCATGGACATATTTTTCAAAAATACATTTTGACCAACTGGACTTTTTGTGATCTGGTGTTTGCAATTACTTAGATACACTTACGGCCCTCTTTGTGTCAATCTACTGCCGGATGAGAGCCTGCCCTGGCTTTGCCTGTCCGCCGGGGGTTTTTGTGAAGGTTGGTCAAGGCAGGGAGCATAGACGGGGAGTATAGCAGCACAGTACCATGATGGATTTTGCCACATTGCCCTGTCCACAACATTGTCCCGTGGTAGCCTATAACATCTGTTAAGGACAAATGGTCATCTCCCATCTAACAACAACATCTGCCGTTCGCCACCAAGTGGCGTTGACGTCATCACGGTGCTTGTGCCAGGCTATGTGCACGTTGAGGCCACGTGAAGTCGTCGAACGCCCGCTGGCAGGAGGTCACGGGACAGATTCAGGTGCCGTGGGTTGACTAAGTACTTATGCAGGCTCAGCCCTGCTTGGCTGAAGTATGGTGAGATCGGGTGCATTCTAGGTGATTTGGTCACGGGTGCATATGAATGAAGGGCCCAAAATAACATGTTGGTTAACCTTGGTTTAAGTCCAGTTTTGGATGAGAATGTGCCGTTCTCCGTAATCAAATTGCCATGACATTGCATCTCGAAAAATGCGGTTTCGTCAACGCTTAAATTCGACCCTTAGAGGATGCAAGAGCTGTGGCGCCCCTGACGTCTGTTGTGAATTCTCTTTAGCATCTGCCCGCTAATATGAAAACGGGCGCTAATGTGAATGTGAGTCTTGTTCAACTGGCTGACCCTCGCCGCTGGAGAATATCTGTGCAGAGAGAGTGACAGACAGTTCGTGCCTCGACTCCTTTAAAATTAGACTTGCTCCCATAGCTCTTCATCTGCTTGTCCTAAATTAGGCCACAGACGAGCAGTGTAACTTAAAAAAAAGTTGTGCTGTACATTTTTTGGGGGGAACACAATATTACAGTACACTCGTTCATTCATTGGGCATCCGTCACATCGACAGTGACATCGGTGACGATTTGTCCCCATGCTTGTTTGGCGCGTCGGTGCAAGGCTAGCGCAATTCGGTGAAGAAAAGCTGTAGATATCACGGTTCACGACCGGAAGGCGATTGTTGATAGCAGGCTTCGTGTGATGCCACTCCCTGGGGATTTAGTAACTTTCCACCCTATACTTTATTTGCGCCATTGCTTGGTGAATTGCACTTCTCCACTAAGTGATCATGAGAGCTATGTCCTCCCATTTCCCCACGGAAATATCAGTATCTTTCAGACGATGCTTAAGCACGTCCTTAAACTGAAGGTGCTGTCCTCCATGGCATTTCCCTTGAGGGAGCTCTTCGTTGGTCGCTACGGTGGGGAAATGTTAACTACATTGCCTGGTGGTACAGGAGGTTGTGGGTTCGATCTCGACCCTGACGCCTGCTGTATATTTGGAGTTTGTATGTTCTCCCCGTTTCGTGGATTTGTCTCCGGGTCCTTCAGGATTTCCCTTCACATTTAGAAACATGTGTTGTATTTGTCTGCTAGAAATGTCCACGTGATCAGTCACTTGGTCGAGCTATCATTTGTGGCCAGGTCGCATCAATAAAATAACTATATTGCTCATAGGGCCGTACCAAGTAGACTAAGAATAGTTCGTTTTCGTATTTTTTCGAAGACTGCTTTTGGAATTTGCGCATCATCCATCTGGACGATATGTGCAGGCAATCTCAGCTGTTTGGCATCAAGGATGTTGCGCTACAGTACAATATTAACAAATGCACAACGTTAATGTACAAACTGGTTGTGGGCGTGGGCTATGTTACCGTTGTATTGCAAGATTTTTCTTTTCATTTATAAATCGAGAACCAACGGTAAGGACAGTACGTGGATAAACACTGCACCAAAATCAGTAACACGCCTCCATCTCGTTTTCACAAGTCCTACTAGTTCGTTTATTAAGAGGACATGTTCTGATTTGGATGGTGGATAACACACAGTGGATGTCATGAGTTGGGTTGTGATTGCTCAATTGACACTCGGTTGATTTATTAAGAGACAACCTTTGGTGTTATCCTCATCTAGATATATTCAGAGGTGTTTGTCTCTCATTCTGCTTTATAATACGAGCTGCCAAAGTAGGACAGGGATGATCCCTCCCTGTGTGTATGGTCACATTCCCGTGTACACTGCCGCAATTGTCAAATAACTTTAGGCCCTGCCAAAGCTGGTAGTTTGTGGTTTTTTTAACTTTTCGCTGTACGGTACATTAATTTTAAATCCACTACACCGTGTACATTTTTACATTGTCGGGCAGATGTAAGTGGCATTCCTGGCCAGACTGTTGCAACGCCTTGTCTTGGTTTCAGCCTAAAGCTTATTAAGGGGTGCTTGATCAGCACTCCTCAGTGAACTGTACCCAGGCGCGACCCTGAGATGGAGAGGAGAGGCGTGGACCTTGTTCCTGGGAGGGAATTCAAGGCTTGAAAGTGTTTTATTTTACGTTGGTTCTGTGCAGCAGAACGTTGCTGTGGCCCTCGGGTGATAACGTCACACTGTACAATAGTAACAGCCTCGTTTCTCACCGCCTACACAAGTGTTGGAAATACACACAAACGGATCTCAGTAATTTTTTCGCAAATCGATGAGGGTTTTTTTTGTATAAATCGCCAAGATTGATGTATTGCATCGCAGCATCCATGGCCTCAGGGTTTGGTCGGCTCGATTGTGACTTTTTCGGTCAACGGAATTGCCTCTCTTCATGAATGGACTTTTACATCTCGGCGTGGACCCTGAACTGCCAGTGCATTTGTCACCCTGTGGAAAGTAAAGGAATGACATGTCTGCTAATTCTCTGCGAATATTACTCATTCCCTTTGGGAATTGCCAGTGCAGTATTTAATATTTTGTCTGGTAAACACAATGATAAAATTTGTGTTAATATTATCCTAATCCTCTTGAGGCCATTTGATTTACAATATATTCATGTCCTTAAGAAATAATGGGCAGGCTTCTTAACCCCCCGCCAATCGCTGTTAGTCGATTGGCAGGTCGTGTGTGGTGGGGGAAAGTGTGCGTACTCCCATCGGGCAAAACTTTTTACCATAATGGAAGAGTAGGCCAAAGAGGGGTGCCGCGGTAGCGAGATGTTAACTACCTCACCTGGTATACAGGAGGTCGTGGGTTTGATCCCGACCCTGACGCCTGATGTATACATTTGGAGTTTGCGTGTCTCTCCTCTCCAGGTTCTCCAGTCTTTCCCTCCACTTTTAGAAACGTGCGTTTAGAGTATTTGGCTGCTATAAATTTCCACATTGACAGGCCACTTCGTTGAGCTATCATTTGTGGCCAGGTCGCTTATGAAAAAAGAGCTATATAGCTCATTAGGCCTTACCTGGTGAAATTGAAAGTGAGTTACTCGGCCCATACAACCTCTAGGGGGGGCACTAGAGTTTTCTCTGGTGGAGGTGCTGCTGTCAGCAGTGGCATGTACCGGTAATTGCAGAGCTGCACCTAATTACCTCGCTTTGAAGGAACACTGTCACACTCTTCGTGCGTTTTTGCCATTTGGTGGCTTCAGACACGCAGATTGAGTCGTGCTGAGCAAAAGTGAAAGAGACACAGCCAATGAGCCGCAACAAAGGATTAATAAACCGTAATTGTCCATTCCCTGGGGTGATTCTGCTCTAAGGGCAGTGTAAGTAGGAGCAGAACAACTGTGGTTATGTGTGTGGGGGGGGGGACGACTCCTTGGCTCACGTTTCTTCACAGGCAACTCCTCTGCCGTGTGTAAATTCGGAAAGTAGCATGATGTGGTGTTGCTCGCTGTGCTGAAACATTGGTTTCAATTGGGGACCAAAAGTTTGGAATGTTCTAGCTTCTGTCTGTGCTTAGTCTCCATGACCAAACTTACATGTGTTTCTTTTGCTGGTCTAACTCACCATCCCTGACCGGAGAGAGACCGTTTTATTATGCCTATCGGATATATGCACAGGCTTAAACACATTCTACTCAACAGACAGAAAAAAAAAGAAAAACAATCGGGTAATAGTTACATCTAAAGTAGTTTCACTTTGCTGACCGCAATGGGGGTCTTTTTCTTACCTGAAAAGCATACTTCCAATGCCCAAATGCTGAAGTGAAAATGTTTTTTTTGTAGCATTTCCAATGGTAGATATAATGGACCTCAATACGGTAATAAGGCAATGATAACTGTAAAATATATTTTAACGTTCAAAATACGTGTATAGATTTGTGTGTAATATTAAAACACATGTAAGCCGAGTTTATACAAATGGCACTCAAAGATTAATACCACGACAGATTGCATCTGCCCCACAAGAGCAAGGAGAGACACCGAATACAATTGTGATCCTGAAACCAAGTTAATAGAATGGTGGAGCAGAATTGTATGAACGTTTGTCTCGCCGTATGTTACCAGCCATGCTAATCGGAGGTGGGGAATCGTTACATCCCTGCTCTAAATAGTCTAACCTAGTAATTACCTGGTTTACATTTCATATTCCTTTCAAATACTGTAGAGAACGTGCCATTTTATTTGAATAAAAGCTACGGTATTTGGAAAAATTATACGATGGATAAACGTCCATCCGTAGGTAGGATACGTCCTACGAATGTATCCTATTTGCAAATAGGATGTACATTTGTATTCATTGTGTTGAGTAAATGCATTTAGAATACAGTTAATACATTTTAAGGAGAAGTAAGTCATATGTGATGGATTTTGTCCATTTACAGAGTTTTAATCGGGAGGCTGCTGTAAAAACAAGGCATTTATCACTCCACCACAGTAGTGGTGGCCATTAAAAAGAGTAATTCCCACTTTGGAAAATGGTAAATTGATTTTATTCGAATACATGTTGTTGTCATTAAAAAAAAACATGGAAACTCGGTGAATATTGAACATTTGTTTTTTTAAGAGTTCTAAATGCACGCATGTATCCTGCAGATGTTGGATGAAAACAACCACCTCATCCAATGCATCCTGGACTACCAGAGCAAGGGCAAGACATCAGAGTGCTCACAGTGAGTCCCTCCCTCCACAAATCCAAGTTGTTCTTTTTGTAACATGATGTTCATGTGACTTTTCCTGTTTTTTTTTTATAAAAGGGAAAGGAGTAGGGAGAACGCAACAAGAGGGTGCTCATCATTACACATTTATGACAGCATACATTTGAATTTTGATTTAAAGCTTTCGTGACTGCAGTGATTCATATTTTTGGTTCTTTCGGTAAAGTCACGTTGAAGGGAAACAATAAAATAATAAAATATATATGAAACAATAAAATTCTCACGACGTTTCGACTGCAACACAAGCAGTCATCATCAGGTGTGAAAACCAACGGCAAGAACATTTGAAAGAAGTGGCGGTTTGTATTTATTTATTTTTAACGTTAGTACCACGGAGAGAGATTTGGCAGTTTGTTTAGATGGACGAGTCCATCTATGTTCGGAAAAGAGGAGGGGGGAGACGAGAAAATGAATGTATGCTGTCTGAAAGCCACCGTAAGCGTGAACAATCAATTAAGACCCAAAATGGTTTATCAAATCCTTCCAATGATTGCTAAGCCAGAATACATCTTCTCGGATGAAATTGTCTCTGTGTTTGTATATGTGGATAGCCTCATGAACGAATCTCTCATGGTAGCCAGATGGCGTGCAAAGAACCTCTGTCTTGGAGAAGTCAATGTCATGTGAGCCTACTTTCAAATGTTCTTGCTGTTGGTTTTCACACCTGATGATGACAGCTTGTGTTGCAGTCGAAACGTCGTGAGAATTTTATTGTTTTATATATATCTTATTATTTTATTGTTTCCCTTCAACGTGACTTTACCGAAAGAACCAAGACTATAACGTACATTTAGTTTTTATTTCTTTCTCCTGCACCTCCGATTGGCACGGTTGGCTACGTACGGTGCGATACGAGTTCTACATACGTACACCATCTTTCGTATAGTGAGGAGGGGTTTGATCAGCAACATTTCTCTGTTCATTTTTACCAGGTTGGTGGGTGCGCCAGTGGATGGCTTAAGGGGTAGCCTGGTCAATATCTAAAATGCTGCCGGTGAATGGTCGAATTTGGCAGTGGTGTTGCTGTGTGGTCCATGATTTCCAATTGGCGAAAGAGATGACTGCATCTGCTGTGAGATGAGCATCACTGAGATAATGTACATGTACAGCTCCCTGTCTAACCACTGCTGAATGATCCTTCCCCTTGGGAGCATAGAGAGAATAGTGCACAGTGTACTTTGTTGCAATGCCCTCTGTTGCCCGCCAAGTATCACTGGTATAGTCGACAACCTTATGAACATGGGGATGTTCACTTATACAAGAAGTAGCCATGCACAAACCTGCTTATCTTCTGAAATATGAAAAGATCGGGCATATTCCAGATGGTTTGGTCAAAGACAAATAGGGTTAGAAAAAAAACCGTTTCAAATTAAGATGGAGAACTTGTGCTGATTTGTGGGACATGTTTACCGATGTGACCTAATTTCTATTTGAATGGAAAATAAGTTTGTGAATGTGGAAAGGCGTAGCGTGGTGTGGTGCTTGGGTTGAAGGGTGGGCAACCATGTGGCACTGCAGTAATTTCAATAGGCCTCTTATGAAGTGCCAGATGGGACTTCTTCACACTCTTCATAGTTTACCACTTGTCAATTATCCAATATATATTTATACAATGTAGTCTGCCGTGTTGAACTAATTTGAATTACGTGAAAAAACAAACTTACAGGTTGGATTCAGTGAGTGCTTATTGATAACCAAGCTGGAATCTTCGATGTGCTACGTTTTACGAATCTTCTTTAAGCACATCCATCTGTCCAGATTTCAACCCACAATGTCGGTGGTGCTGGCTAAGTGCTCCAACGCGGGCATTGTGCACCTCCTGTTCCCCTCCAGTCCATAAAGCCGCCTTGATGTAGCAAGGGCCAGCCTTTTGCCTCGATCGTTATCGTGTGAGACTGCAACGCCTACGTCTGCTATAAAGGCAGGTTCAGAGAGAGCGAAAATCAGAGCTTGTCCTCAAATCAACGTGGACATAAATGGCATGTTCCGCATTGAACAGTGTTCTCTTGGTGACCTTTAAATAAAATAAAACATTGGAAATGCACTCCTGAAGCTCAAAAAACTGAACCCACACGCAGAGAGATGCTGGCTTGTTGTTAACTGCGCCTCCACGCTGCGTGTAATAATTATCGGGTTTTATGAAGAAAACATATACTGGACCAGGGAACTCTGTCCCTGGAATTAGCGGGGTTTTTTTAGGACACGCTGTAGCTCCAATTGCTGCACTTAATTTAATTAGCCTTCGGTTGTAGTGGTGGCTCAAAAGGCTCAACAGTGTGACGATGCATCGATTAGTCGATGAATGGATGCGTGTAGTTGCCTGTGTGAGAACGGATACATTTCATTTTGAGCAAATTGTACGAATCTGATATGCCCCTGTGTGACATTTAGGCTCACGGAGAAAATGAAACTTTAAATGAGACGGAAAACCCCCTCCCCAAGATACAATACATATGAGATGGTTAAAACAACATGAAAATAATTCATTCTTGTGTGGAATTGTGACAGTTAAATCTGCTGGGGGTGGGATCAGGTTAGGGGTGGGGGGGGTGTTTGGTGGGGTGGGTGAATTGTTACGCCCCTTAGTCTGTTGGAGAGCTTTTGTTGAATCTGTTTCTTGTTGAACAGCTGTCCACTGGCTCCTATCCTAGGAGCCATTGTTTATTCACATTTTGCACCTGCACGGCTAGTCTGCCTTGATTTTCCCACCTCCGAGCTGTGGTTTTTTTAATTGATCCGGGCTTTGGGTGTGCCTGGATGTGCGTGTGTTCTAGCCAGGCCGACGCTGTGCTCGTGTTTTTACTGTGGTTTTTGTGCGAGTCTGTGAGCGGGCACGTATGTGTGTGTGTGGTGGGGTGTGGCGGTTCAGCAGTTAGCCCATTACCACGCAATCCCAAGGATACATATTTACTGTAATACTCCTGGCTTTGCACAATGCGGAGCTGTAGTGTAGCGGTTAGCACGCTACAAACCCAGCGTCTTGAGTTAGATTCCCGCTCATGGCCAACGCCAGTGACAATTATCTGAACCGGTCCTGGGCCTCCCCCAGGTTAAGTCCGCCTCAAATGAGAACCTAGTGGCAATGTATAAACATTGTATAAACATTGCCACTTGGGAGACAAAGGCGGCCGGGCATGGTGCTGGACGCCCACCCCTTCGTGTGGCGTTCAGGCCTTCATAACTGCTCGCGACCAGCACTTGCACTGACAGTCTGTTAAAGGCTATATGGGGGATCTTTGCCTTGATTTTTGTTGTGGGGGTGTGGCGGTTCACAGTTAGCCCATTACAACGCATTACCGAAGATACATAATTACTATGAAATTCCTGGCTTTGCACAAATGCAGCAGTTTGTATCTACTTTGCCATGGAACCCACCCTGAGGTGAAATTGGCATTAAACAAGAACCTAGTGCATTGTGGCAACACAAGTACTGTACTGGTGAGGCGGTAATCTCTCTGATTCCTCCCCTTCTCACATTACAGTTGATCCAAAATGCTGCTGCTAGACTTCTCACCCATAACCCCCAATACTCCAATCTCTCTCCACTGCTTCCCAATCATATCCTGAATTGATTTCAAGATTGCACTCACCGACTTTAAGTTCCTCCATGGATTCGCCCCTGCCTAACTCACCCTCCCCATCTTTCTCTACTCAACCCTGCACACTCTCTGCTCCAGCAGCCAAAACATTCTGTGTAAGAGCCTGGTCCAACCTTCACTATGTGGCAGGTCGCTCACTCTCCCCTGCTGCCCCCCCCCCCAAACAATGTGCTTTCAACTCCCTGACCCTGTTCAAATCCAGGCTCCAGACCTTTTTCATCTGCCCAAGACTGACTGCCGCTGTCTGTAAAATAAGTTTTGACAACTCTGTCTGTTCTTGCCTTGAAATACTGGCACTTGCAGACGCTCCATAAATATTATTTGTGTTTACAGTATAAGTACTTGTGTGACAATTGTGTCTTGCTTGGACTGACTACATCCACCCCATTATATGCCATGTCGGCATAAATTGGTGTTCACGAACAGCGCAACACTTTTTCCAAAGGTCTTGACATGGATCTGTATGTGTATGTGTGTGCTTGCGGTGTTTACGTTTGACAGGTACCAGCAAATGCTGCACAGGAACCTGGTTTACTTGGCAACCTTGGCCGACTCGAGTCAGAACTCACAGTCCTTACTGCCCACGGTAAGCCGAAGGGGCACAGTGAGGAGCAACAGGCTCGTCACGGTGCATTGGGTCATCGTTTTAAAGCAATTCTTATCTCACACAATGTGTATGCATATCATCTGTATGTAACAACGAATGGTGTACGATTTATTTGAATTAGATTTGATTTATACAGACACTACAAACGAGACGGTACAAACGTGGTAGAACAAACAAGATGGGTGGTACAAATGAGAGGCACACAATATACAACTCGGTCCAAATGGGAACAAAAAAATAATTGATCCTGGGATTCAATTGTGACCCTGAATTGTGGTGATTAATCAAATTGCCGGTAGGGGAGGGGCGACAGGAAGGGGTGGTTGGTTGAGTGTGGTGGAGGTGGGAACTGTTACATGCTTGGTGAGCAATGTACGGCCACCAGAGGCATGACTAACGTCAGCAGAACGCTCTGTTTTTTTTTAAACGTTAAAACTCTGATCTGAAATCTTGAGTTGGTCGGGGCAAAGATTAACCTGAATTCTACTACGAATGGAGCCAATTTTTTGCCTCTTGTGTGTCTCTCTCTACTTTCAGCTGCCAAACCAGAGTCTTGGGATGGGGGCTGGTGGAGGCCTCCCCCCCGGAGGAGCTCCCCATTCCCAGAGCCTGCCTCCTGATCCTGCGCCCCCACCCCCACACATGCAGGGCCCAATGAGCAACGGACACATGGCTGGTATGGAAGGCACCCCCGCGTTGCGCACCATGCACACCATACGCACAACACGTGCGTATTTGTACGCCGCACACCCACCCCCGCGCAGTCACCGCGTGAACTCGCCTCATATACACTTCCCACCACGCGTCCACCACGTGTCCACCACGCGTCCACCACGCGTTGTCACCGCACACTGCACACCAAGCGCACAGCGCCATGCGCTCGCCACACATAGAGCACATGCACACTGTACACATCCACCATACGTTGCCAACACGTACCCACTGCACACCAACTGGACACTTGCTCTGCACACCATAGCACACCTACCACCACACACACCCCACATGCACACACCTCTGACAGGTGACTGCCCACAATTTATTCTACGATTTCATCGGTGGCAACTCAATGATTGAAAACTGGAATTTTGGTGCTGGTGAGCCACCCATCTGAAAATGACACTCAAACGAAAATAAAAAAAAAACAGCTCTGTTTGGGTTTTGTAAGAAACTGGTTGGACCAGAAGCTCTACACTTTCTCTTAAAGTTACGGTCGCTCCACCTCTTCTGCGTGAAGTGGCGGCTGTGACAGCCGGTCGCTCGTAACCGGGGCGGGTTGAAAAATAGAACGGTTTTCTCTTTCTGGTTTGTGTGTGTTTAAAAAAAAATATTTCAAGTTGGCCCTATTTGGCCTCAGGATCGCAAACAGACTTGAGCAAGGGTGTAAATTACCTGCTCCCTGTGGGGGAGTGGCCCTGTATGAAGAGAAGTCTTAAACCCACTTATTATTATTGGCTTGATCCTCATTATTGAGTCTTACTTTCTCTTGTTGGGCGTCTCTTTCAAATAGCGGAGCTGGTACTGAGAGTTTACGTCAAAGGGTTCTACATTTATGGTCCGTTGTATTTCTCTTTTTATTCTACCATGTAAGGCCCACTGAGCGATTTAGGTCTTATTCAGAATCAACCTGGCCACGAATGTCTCAACGAAGTGCCTTATGTGGAAATCTACAGCAGCCAAATACTCTAAATGTATGTTTCTAAATGTTGAGGGATAAATCAGAGAACCCGGATGAAAAATCCACGCGACCACAGGGAGAACATGCAAACTCCAAATATGCAGGCGGTCAGGGTTGAGGTCAAACCAATGACCTCCTGTATGCCAGGCGAGGTTAACATCCCGCCATCGCGGCACCCATCACTCGTATTGCACCCGATAATGATCTGGTAAGGTAAGCAGCCAGGATACTCCTTGGCTAAGCCTGGAGAGTATTTGGATGGGTGACTGCTGTGCATAACAGGTATTATAGCCTGCGGGGCTATGTTGTGAGCAGCAGAGGGCAGTGCAGCAAAATCCATAGTTGAACTATGCTCTGCTCCAGCGTATATGTTGCCTGCCCTTACTCTAATGCTCACTGAGCAGCTTGATTGACTAATCAAACAAGCCCTATGACAGACTTGGTGTGGGCACACCTTCATCCAGCAGTGGATAGACAGGGGGCTGCGAAGTAATATTGTTAACCGGTGTATATTTGCAAACTTTCTTATCATTGATGATGTCACAATCCATGAGAGGCAAATGACTTGGTTCACTGATGATGAGGATTGTGCTTTATTGTGATAATTTACTGAGTCAAAACATTTTTCACGACTAAATCTGTCAATGTTTGGGCCGTGATTTTTATGGGTCCAAATCTATTTAAACTTTATGTATCAATTGATTGATTAGAATGGCACAGCAGTCAGTCTCTCACTCAGTCACAATTGGCTTTATGTACATCACTCACTAACAGCACATTCCTCTACAGTCCATAAAGGCTACATAGGGTATCTTCATGTTTACTTCGTGACATTACAGGACCAAACTCCATGGCAATGCAGCCTCCAAACCACCAGGCGAGCCCTGCGCTCAGCCTACCGGCCAGCAGCCATGCCACCATGGCCGGGTACAGCCATTCGGTGCCATCGTCTGGACCAGGAGGGCCCAGCCAGGCTTACAGGACCCCGCCGGCCAGCCAGGGCCAAGGTGAGAACGCTGGGAGTGAGAACACTGGGAGTGAGAACACTGGGAGTGAGAACGTTGGGAGTGAGAACGTTGGGAGTGAGAACACTGGGAGTGAGAACACTGGGAGTGAGAACACTGGGAGTGAGAACGTTGGGAGTGAGAACGCTTGGAGTGAGAACACTGGGAGTGAGAACGTTGGGAGTGAGAACACTGGGAGTGAGAACGTTGGGAGTGAGAACGCTGGGAGTGAGAACGCTGGGAGTGAGAACGCTGGGAGTGAGAACACTGGGAGTGAGAACGTTGGGAGTGAGAACACTCGGAGTGAGAACGTTGGGAGTGAGAACGTTGGGAGTGAGAACGTTGGGAGTGAGAACACTGGGAGCGAGAACACTGGGAGCGAGAACACTGGGAGTGAGAACGCTGGGAGTGAGAACACTGGGAGTGAGAACGCTGGGAGTGAGAACGCTGGGAGTGAGAACGCTGGGAGTGAGAACGCTGGGAGTGAGAACGCTGGGAGTGAGAACGCTGGGAGTGAGAACGCTGGGAGTGAGAACGCTGGGAGTGAGAATGCTGGGAGTGAGAACGCTGGGAGTGAGAACGCTGGGAGTGAGAACGCTGGGAGTGAGAACGCTGGGAGTGAGAACGCTGGGAGTGAGAACGCTGGGAGTGAGAACGCTGGGAGTGAGAACGCTGGGAGTGAGAACGCTGGGAGTGAGAACGCTGGGAGTGAGAACGCTGGGAGTGAGAACGCTGGGAGTGAGAACGCTGGGAGTGAGAACGCTGGGAGTGAGAACGCTGGGAGTGAGAACGCTGGGAGTGAGAACGCTGGGAGTGAGAACGCTGGGAGTGAGAACGCTGGGAGTGAGAACGCTGGGAGTGAGAACGCTGGGAGTGAGAACGCTGGGAGTGAGAACGCTGGGAGTGAGAACGCTGGGAGTGAGAACGCTGGGAGTGAGAACGCTGGGAGTGAGAACGCTGGGAGTGAGAACGCTGGGAGTGAGAACGCTGGGAGTGAGAACGCTGGGAGTGAGAACGCTGGGAGTGAGAACGCTCGGAGTGAGAACGCTCGGAGTGAGAACACTCGGAGTGAGAACACTCGGAGCGAGACGCAGGGCAGCAGTATCCAACTGTAACAGGCATTCACTTAACACCACGTGAACTGGCGTACGGCCACACCACCCTGAACATTCACCCGATTTCGTTAGATTTTGGAAGCAAAGTGGGGTCGAGTCTGGCTATTATTTGCATGGGAGGCTGCCTGGGAATACCAAGTGGTCTAGGCTTAGTGGCCAAGAGATGGCAATACAGCAATGGATTAATGAATCTATCCACGCAGAGCTTTTAATATTACCCTGTGGTATGCATGGGATTTCTATGGTTACTATTATATGCCAAATGTGCATAGAAAAAAGCGTGAGTCTCGGTAAGGCTTTCCTGAGTAAAGGAGACAACTATTGTTATTATATTACCAGGCCGCCGTGTGATTACACAATGCAACACAATTTTTGTTCCTGGGTAGTAAGTGTTATTTCATAATTGCTTATGCCTAAAAAGTATATAAAATGGCTATTATTCCCCACAAACTTTGCTTTTGTGACCAGGACAGTGATATTTATAAATTTACCTATTTTCAAAGTCAGAAAAAAAACCATGAATACAAATGAACATGTATTTATACTAAAGTAATACAAAAATGACTACAAAAGATTTAGAAGCGAGTAGTTTTTCGAGATTCTTCCTCCCCACAGAGAACTCGTTCTGCTGTGGCCATTCCCGCCTGTGGTAGTGCGCCTTGGTGACTTTATGTGAACGAAAAGGCACAAATTTGCCCATTTTCTCATTGAAAATATGTATATTTCAAAATATCACTGTCCTGGTCACAAAAGCAAAGTTTGTGGGGAATAATAGCCATTTTCTGTACTTGTGAGGCATAAGCAATTCGGAAATAATACTTACTACGCAGGAACAAAAACAAAATTGTTACACAGTGTTATTCATCACGTGTGTGTGTGTGTGTGTGCGTGCTCCAGGCCACATGGTGTCTCAGCAACCGGCTCCATCCCAATACAACCTGGCACAGGGCTCGGGGCAGCACTACCAGGGCATGATGGGCGGTGGGGCCGGGCAGGGCAGCCAGATGATGGGGCAGCGCCAGATGCCCGGCTACTCACGGTCCGCACAGCAAGGTGAGTGCTGCGTCGCGAAGCGACCGTCCTTCCTCACCCCTGTCGTGGAAACGGGTCGCTGTGGTTACTCCGGGCCACGGGCAGTTGCCTACGCTTCCTGTTTTCCAGTTTCGTGCAACATGCGCTCGCGGTTTAGGTGTACAATGGAAATGGTGTTTACATGCCCCTCGTTCAGCCAGCTGAACGGAAAAGAGAATACCTGGAAAAGGCTCCAGTACTCTTGTTTTGGCAGGTGCATTGCATTCCAAGCCTTTTCAGGATTGCTTCCTGGAAAGTATAATTTTTGGCCTTTAACCATACTTCACCACGGTGGTTAATGTAGGTTGGTGAAGGTTGGGGACTTGGGACCGGTTTATATATTCCCAGTTACTAATGTTAGCCTTGGCTGGGAATCAAACTCTGGTTGCTTGGTTAATAGCTCAGTAAGCAAACCACCGTGCCACCACCTCCCAGAGCAGCACACAATCGCCCATTGCTCCATCACACCCAGCTCTTCAACCGGTTGACTCTTAAGCAGCGATGTAGTCATTATAACATATGTTCCTTTAAATAGGCATCTACCACTGCAGTAGAGTTCCCGGAGGATGGAGGTGCGATGTGGAGTCCAGTGATGTTGTGACGCATAGCTCCTTTTTGGTGATAAATCAATATAAATACCCATCCAGTGATTATTATTTTGTGTGAAGCAAGTCGTGCATGTGCGTGTGTGCGGTGGTTAGCGCACTGCGCAACGAACCCAGCCACCAGAGTTCGATTCCCGCTCACGGCCACAGCCAGTGATGATTATCTGAACCGGTCCTGGGTCTCCCCTAGGTCAACTCGGCCGGGTGTGGTATCGGCCCCTCACAACCTATGTGCACCCTGCCAGCCTTAATATCCGCTAACAGCACTTTCCCAAACAGTCGGTTAAAGGCCAAATGGGGGATTTTTGTCTTTATTGCCGTGTGTCCTCGGCAGGGCCGCCGCAGCAGTTTGGCTCGCAAGACGACTATTACGCGGAGCAGTACTCGCACGGGCAGCCCCCCGCTGACGGGATGACGCCGCAGTACTACCCCGATGGTACGGCGAGCCCCGCGCACGCACGCACGCACTCAAACGCGCTCGCGCGCACGCACGGGCCCAGGCCAAAGCGCCGACCTCAGCAGCGGCTCCAACCGTAAACCCCCAGAGCACCTCGGCGACTAACAGTGACTCCAACAATAACGTAACCAATAGCTCGAACGCAAATCCCCCCCCCCGCTAGCGATGCCCACTCCAAAGACCGACATCGTCATGAGCCATGACCTATTCACTGCTGGATAAGGCATCCCCCCCCCCACCCGCCATGCGAGTCTTGGAGGTTATTTGACCATACTTCACCACACTGGTGAGTGTGGGTTTGCTTTGATGGGGTCAGAGATGTGCCAGTACAGAAGTACAATACCGCATTAGATTTTGCTTCACTGCCATCTGCTGCCCACCCAATAACCCTGCAGCCCTTTAACAGTCTCTTGTGTATGATGGTCTCCCATGAAAGCTCTATCCAGGTTCCTCCATGCTGCTTAGCTTCGAGTTCTGATGAGATCCCGGTGCATTTCGGATTGTTTTGGTTGTACGCTTTCAATGACAGAGCCAGGATTTTCTGGTAAGGGGGGCAACCCCTCCAGCAATTAAAAATGATAGTTGTTAGTAAGGACTTATCCCTTGCTTTTTATTTGCGTGTGCGGCGATGGCACAGCCATCGATCGAGGATCGAATTAGAACCGTGTTGTGTGATCGGCATTGCGCTCGCTGAAGGTGAATGCCTACAGGGAAGTCGTGTACTGTATACGCAACTGCGCACAATTATGTGAGTCACTTATAACTGCTTTGCCGTTACTTATTGCCAATTATGGACTCAGACTCTTTAGAGTCCCTGGCACATAATATGCTACACAGTGGCAGTGGGGGTCGCAAAATGCCAATTTATCACTAATAACCCCGATGATCCGATGGAAATTAGGGATTTCGATCAGATCATTGGGGGGGCACGTGCCACCCCACCTCCCCCACTGGCTCCGCCAGTGTACGCTGTAACATATGTTCGACATTAACTCAGACACCTCATATTTACATCACCTTTAAACATCTTTAACAGTATTTGCAGCTCTTGACGGACCCCAAACTTTATTTCCAGCTGCAAACTCTGTAATCCAGAGCAATACGTTAACGGTTTCTGTTAACGGGAGCCTTGAACCAAATTTTCAGTGGTTCTAACACCGTAACCCAGAATCCTTCGTAATGAGAAAAGCAGCTCTTGGCGCTATTAACCCTGATCTTCATAACAACGCAACTCTTACCACTGCAGCTCTTAACTCCTCTTTAACTCCGTCTCTTGCAGGAACGGGGCAGTACGGGCAACAGCAGGGCAGCTATCAGCCAGGCCCTCCCGCCCAGACTTACCCGTCCCAGCAGCAGTTCGGCGGACCCCAGGGATACCCCAGCCAGGGCCAGGGCTACGGTGAGGACGTCACGGGGCACTCCCAAGTGAGGGCGTGGCTGTATTGAGCCCACCCAGGGATAACACCGCCAAGGCAGTGCTGGAACAACCATAGGAACCTACATCCATCAGGGGTGGCTTGTGGTGTAGCACAACGAGTGATGCAGGTGTGGTGCAGTTGTGGTGCAGGTGTGGTGCAGCTGCGCAGGGCCCAACGAGCTGGAGGGTTATGCAGAGGGGCGTAAATTGGACAGAGGGCCCCATTTCATTCCTTGCAGAAGGATCCATCCCAACTGTGCGATGCCGTTTAGTGCTGTACACTCGACAGCCTGCTGGGGCGAAGGAGAATCGGCCCGACCTCAAGTACTGTACAGTGTGTTTTTGTTTCAGTTGTAGCAGTCGGATTGTGAAAACGTAATAGAAAAAAGTTAGAAGCATTCATCCGTATGAAAGTTTTCCAACATGCGCTTGTCTTCAGAAGTACTTAACAGAGGAGACATACCACCTTCATCTAACCGTGATGCACGATATGATTCTCCAACTTGCCTCGACCTCGCATTGACCTTCCACCACGCCCCCTCGTCCTGCTCGTCCGTAACCCCTCCAGCAGGCCCTGCTCAGACTGGCTCTGGGCAGTACGCGGGCTACCCCCAGGGGCAGCAGTACGGCGCGTACCGCCCCCCACAGCCCGGCCCCCCCACCCCACAGCAGCAGCGGCCGTACGGCTATGAGCAGGTGAGTGCTCCCCATAATGTACCGTATTCTCAGGATGATAGGATGCAAGTTTTTTTTCCGTGTATTTTAAATCAAAGGTTAGTAGGTGCCTCTGATAATACGGTAGGTGTATGTTGTGTGGGATCAGATTGTCCTAACTTGGCACTGTGCTTAAGTTTGGATTGTCTCACTTTCACTGTTTGGTCTTCAGTCAGATAATTACTGATCATCTCAAACTCCCCTTCTGGCACCTCGAGATGCACTGCATGGGAGGTGCGATATAAATAATAATATAAATGACGATGATAATTATGGTTTCACCTTTCTCTCTATGAGGCCAAGATCTGTGAATTGCCAATCATCAATGCCCTTGATTCACAACTTGATTTTTGGGTTGGGCCACATAAAGGTCCACCCACCATCCTACATGGCCAAACAAGTTAAATTCTTCACGCGTGCAAGCGTTTGACGTACCAGTTAGTCTTTCAGCTCACCGGAGAGTTGTAGAACAATTAGCACAGCCAAATTTAGCAATTGGAATACAAACCAATCTCTTTTCTTGCCTTGTGGCTGCGCGTCGTCCATGCAGGGCCAGTACGGAGCATATCAGCAGTGACGAGACCCAGTTGTTGTCAGATGCCCTCCCTCCGTGCCAACCTCTCTGGACCTCCACCAAGCGCCGCCACCACGACAAGGAGCAGGAGGCCCCCAAACATCCTCGTGCGCCACCCAACACTGGCGCGTGGCGCATCGTACGCGCGTGCGTGCGTGCACGTTGCGCATTCTCCTTTTGGAGCTTCTCACCGCATATTGCGCACACGCTCGCACGTACGAACAGGTGTGTGTGTGTGTGCGTGTGCGCATGACAGGGGATGCAGCGTTTCTGGAAAAAGTAAAACGCTGAAATAACCCCCATAAAATCCTGAACGGCGGACGTGTGCCGATGCTGCCACCCCTCCCATCAGTTTTCGATTTGACCTAACACTCGCCTGTGGAAGTGTCTTCTTGGACGCATTTTTTTAAATGGGAAAAGGGTGTACCTCAAAATAACATGCCAAGGAATTCGAACAGTGAAGAAGTGTTTTTAATTTAAAATATCCTTTGAGTGTTGCGAGGTTTAGCCACAACTTGATGTCTGCGGCATTCGCATGTCCGCTTTCTGGGCGTCCCGATCCGATGTTCTCTGCTTTTGGGTACTCGGAGCCCAGTGACCATGAACCTCCAGCCCATATAACCTCATCTATTTGACCTCTTTCACCTCATCGGTTTAGTGCACCGAATCTTAAATTTCAACTTGTAACTCGATAAGTGTGTGGTGCCCGCCATCCCTCGCTCAACCTGACCTCAAACCCAGTATGCCAACTTTTACTCTTTGACCCCAACAAACGCGTGACTCTGACCCTTCGACCTCTTGGTCGCATAATTCATTTAACCGTGCGTCCGGCCGCGGACGTGGAGCTGTTAACAAGTCGTCGCCATCGCCGCCGTCATTAAGCTGTTACAGGCCGCAAGCGCCGTGGTCGTAGCTCGGTGTTCACGCAGTGTTACGAGTTTGTAGAGTTCGGCGTCGCGACAGGTTCTGCTCGCTTCGCAGGACGCGGTTTCTCCCCCTCTTCCCACTGCCACTCCTCCCTGAGCATTCCATACGCGTAGAGGTTCACGCCCGTCGTCATGCACGACGGCCCGGTGTGGCTGAGGTGAGTCACAACCGTGTTTTTCTTCGTTTACTTTGCAGCACACAGGGCCTGTTCCCAGAATTTGGTGCCAGTTCCACGCCCTCCCTCTCCCAAACTCTGATCCAGCTTTGCACGTGTACCTATTGGCAAGAAGCGTGTAGAGCGCATTGCAGCCAAGGGCTTGGTGTAGGCACTGTCCTCATTTGTTCCGACATGGCTTAGAGGGCTACATTTTCGAAGTGCATATGAAATGTAGCGAACCGCTGTTCCCAGACACGGTGGAATGCCACCAAGTGTTGGGTGACACGGGTCTCGTGAATGCACTCCAGAAGTATTACTGTGGCATCATCTTCCAGTGCCATTCCCACACATGTGATACTCTGCTCACTTAAGCAAGCCCATATTACCCAAATGGTAGCAATCAACATGCTGTTAAATTGGTGATACAATAAATAATAGTTCAGCGTGTCGGGTAGGGCGGCGGAGTGCAGTGGTGGCACAATAGTTGGTTAGCCAATGCTAACATCAATGGTGAGTGATATTGGAACCGTTCCTGGTGTCGCCCCCCCCCCCACCTTTAGCGACCAGGTTGGTAAAGAATGACGCACATAGCTTGCAGAGGCTTTCATCTTGCAGTGGAATGAAAAAGGGCTGTAAATGATAATTGTACGATGGGTTTGAGGGAAAAGCTGGACCTTGATATGGAGACCGAGGGCTTAGGTTGGTGCAGATGCTTTAGGATGAGATTAAGCAGCATACCACTACGCATGGCATTGGTGGTGGCACGCGTGAGGTAGGTTTGAACAGATCCTTCGTTGACCTTTAACCCCGATGATAAATAAGCTGCTGCTCTGCTGGTAAAATGCGGCACCTGGCGTGCCGACCTGGCAATGGACTGGGCTCACATGACCTCTGTTAGTGGGTTTTTTAGTGTTTTACCGATGACGATTCTACTTTTTGGGTACGTACGACATTTCAGCGGCAGTGGGGAAGGGATCTGGATGGCAAGCAGATGGAGGGGAAGCTGTTGCCAGGGCGATGGTGAGGGTGGGGTGGGGGGGGTGGGTTCGTCATTATTTAATAACCTTCCCTGGCCCTTGTGAAAAACTAACTCCTCTCTCCTCCCCTCCACCCGTGTTTGCGTGTAGCTAGGAGGGGTGTGTGTGTAGCTAGGAGGCCAGCTGTACGCGTCGGCTTGGTTGTGCTGAGATACTGCTCGCGGCTCGGGCCGCAGTATTAATCCTGTTCCCACGCTCGCAGTGTTCCGCTCGTCCACGTGGCGTGCGGCGTTGTGTGTGTGCGTGCGCGCGCATGTCCTGGTGTTCCCAGATCCAGGGTATACAAAAAAAACTAATAAAAAAACTTTCTCTGCAGGGGATGAAAATTTTTAAGACTTAAAAGTAAACTTCTAGATTGGTTTTCTATTAAAGACATACCGATCTTCGAATTAACCAGCCTAGCAAACACAGCATAATTGGCTAATTAGAGAAAAAAAAAAACCAGTTTACACCAAAACTACTGGACTGACAGTGCCAAGCTCGGATGCAAAACCTTTTGATCGGGCAGCATTTGTTCAGGAGCTTGCTCATGTGAGTTTCATCGCGGGCGCGCTCCAGCCGCGTCACGGCAGCTCCACGTCAACCAGTTCGCAGCTGCGAGGCAGTTACGCATCAAACGAGACGCGCTGTGGGAAATGTGATCCTGAAAAAATATTACTTTTGATTTTCTCGGCATAAAACGCGAGTGGCCGGGGCCATCCCTGCCTGCTTCACTACCCCGCCCCCCCACCCCCCCCCCCACCCCCCCCCCCACCCACCCCCCCCCCACCACATATTTGACGGCAGAATTTCACAGAGGGCTTGGAAGCTTTCCGTTGTTTGGGAGTTGGCCCATGAACGTGGTACATTGTCCCTCGACGTTCTGGGCAAGTCCGCGGTGCGATCATGTGCGAAGCCTGGCCTGTAGCGACGACACTCCTTGTCGACCACTGAAGATGTTCTTTTGACTACTACCAAAGAAAAGAATGATGAGTCTTAAAGTCTTGAGGCCGCGTCGCAGCAACACCCCAGGCCCTCTCGTGCCACCCGTGATGTTCAGCTTGCCTGTCGCGCCGTGCTGTGTAATTTATGGGACTCCGGTTACATCACGGTGAAAATTTGGCATTCGGTTAAACGCGTTGTGTTAAAACCGCTCAGAAAGTCATTGATGTCTGTAAGCTGAGTATTGTCCTGTGTAAGCTGAGTATTGTTCGGTTTTGTTTTATGTGTTTTTTTTAATTATTGTATTTAGGACACACGGGGCTTTTGTTATTTAATTGCCCGCCCCCCCTTGTAAGCTCGGAAATCTAATGTGGCCGTGTACTCTGAAAATTAATGTTCTTTTTTTTAGTGGTACCAATTTTAAATGTGACGTTGACAATAAGCATTTCAATCACGTTAATGAGTGATGCCGCTGCTGTGTTTTCTTTCCCACACAACTCCCTCTTGCCATTTACTTTCACCGCATCTTACCCCGTTCATTATCTTTCAAAAGTGAAACCTGATTTTTACCCAGCCATTTATTTTTTGTGATTATTTGTGATCTGAGATTAAACCAGGTGTTTTAACTTACAATTAACTTACAAATAAAACAAACGAACTTAACATAAGTGTTGCGTACACTGTTGCATTCAATGTGTTCCTCGTGTAACCGTACTGCAAACGTTTCAGTGGCTGTGTCGAAAATGGCCCTTTTTCTTTCTCCTCCGCAGTAGTGGAAGGATTATTTCCGGGCCCCATCACGCACGCGCGCGCGCGCAGGGATACGGCGGGCGACTCGCCCACATGCCTCCAGTAACGGCCACAGTGGTTGGCATGGCAACCTAGGAAGTGAGCTCCAGAGCAGAGAGAGGGAGGGGGGACATTGGACCAAACCAACTGCACTTGCTGGCAGGGGGGGGGGTAGGAGGTACAAATTTGCATGGGAGGGAGGGCACTTGTGTGCCGCAGACAAAGAAGGGTTTGGGTTCGATTCCTGGCTCGGGTGCCTTTGTGTGTGGAGTTTATATGTTCTCCCCGTGTTTTGTGTGGGGGTTTCCTCTGGGTTCTCTGGCCTCCCTCCCATAGCCAAACAAACATTTACAACGTAATTGGTATTGGCCAAACATTCCAATGCTGAAAGCTTGGCTAGGACCCTCCTGAAAGTCTTGAGACCTGGGGGAAACTAGTTGGGTAAATCATCATAATTGTTTTGGGACGTCTCCGGCAACGAGGTCCTCTCCACTTGGAAATCGGTGGCATCAACCTGACCGAGCTTATGCATTAAACGGGGTGAGTGTTTTCACAATTTCCACGTGTCAACTTTGGAATAAGTCCACAACCCCCTGTTGTGAACAACTCCCAATGGGACAGATTTTTTTGTTCTTGAATGGCGGCCACAGACATTCAAAGAAACAATCGCTGATGCTCGTACGGGGTGATTGCCTTTCCTAAAAATAAAAAGTGTTTAATGCAAGTGAAAGAGCAACACGACGGCAAACAAATCGTCTTATGAGTTATGTAAACAAGTATTAGATTGTTTTAAAAACAGCAAAAAATCTAAATATATAAAAAAAGAATTTCAAACTTAACATGAAGCAAAAGTACCGGTTATGCAAGAAGCTTTCCTTCACGGTGATGTGAATTGTGTGCAGTGCCAACAGGCATCTGCCAAATGCACGGTTAAGTTTCAGCTAAAAGCATTTCTTAATTTAGGTAAGGCTACAAATCAGATTTAAAACCCTACTTTTAGTTAACCGGATTCTCTTTTTAGCACTTGCTGTTTGAAGGGACAACCCTGTAAAAACAGTCTCTGGAAACTTTTAACATTTCCAACGACATTGTTGCAGCCTTGTGACCCGGCCAAAAGTCTCCATACCGATGCCCACAAGGGTGTCAAACTGGGGCTTCAGAATATGCTCTGGTTCCTAACAGTCCTCCCAGCGCTATCTGCAGTGGATGGCGATTGGCGCTAATCATACCACGTATACGCCCTCTCAGTTCTGAACCCCTGGCTCTCTCATTGCCAAACCTAAGCTTTGCATTTATTGGGCAAAATCTAACGGAGATATGTTCAGCTCCCTGGTGGGATTTTACTCCACGTCCTGGGGAGTTTCTTCAGGAACTAAACAGTCTCCCAAGATGTGTAGTGAAACGTCAGATAATCATGCCAGAACTACAAACCTATACATAGGTGCACTTTGAAAACTCTAAAAACAACTTAACCTCGTCTCATCTTGGGCCTCCTGACACACTGGCCCTGGCTGGCCCCATGCTTTTCATGACCCCCCCGGAAGCCCAGTAACTCCGTGACCCGATCTCACACCATGCAGTTGAGGCACTGGGCGTGCTTGCTGCCATAGTCCAGGCACTCGGGCCCCACACACTCACAGCACGCGTTGTGGAACCAGCGATACTTGGAGGCGCCCACGGACTCGCACGACATGCGGCACTTGTTGATGGAGAGGCACTCGTTGAAGAAGACGACGGTGCAGTTGGGCGCCGACGACGTGAGCCACGTCCCTGGAAGGTGGAGAGGAGGGAGGGGGTTGGGGGGGGGAGGGAGGGGGTTGGGAGGGGGGCAGGGGGGGCTCGTCAGCCGTGACCCATCACGATGGTGATCGTGGCTGCAGCCAGCAACAACCTTGTACCAAATGGAACCAATTCATTATCGCTCAACACTTGTACGGTGCCTCCCATGCAGGACATTGAGGTACCCTATAGCAGGGGACCGCCGGTGGCAGCTGTCCCAGTTGCGCCACAAGGTGAACGCAGCACGGGCCAGCCAGCGTGCATGCGTGGCAGTACGGACTGATGTTGCTATGTGGCTTTTCTCACTTAAGTAATTTATCAAATTTACAAATTTGGACTGTGGGTACACATGGCCTCTATTTCAATGCTGCCACAGTATAAGGGATGGCACACTGGACTGCAATTAAGAGGTCGCCTGAACATCCAGCGTTTCAGTTGAAACGATGGATGTTTTCTTAAATCTCTTCTGCCTCTGTCCATCTAGTGGTATAAATGGGTACACCGCAGTTAACTGACAGGTTGTACGTGGCGAGGTAAAGTGTCGGCACTCCCACCTCTTCCAAGACATCCATCTGGCCAGCATGGAAGAGTAGCTCAAAAATAAGCATTAAAGAGCTCCCTTTAAGTCCCTTCCGCCAACAACAGCATGAGCAAGGAATTGCAAGGCTGCACCTTCACCTCGAAGTGGAACGTTGCAATAAGATTTCGGGGGAGAGAGAAAAAAAATGACAAAACGAGAAGACACTGCCGGCACGTGCCACCCTCATCCCTCTGGGCCGTCGCGGGCACCGCCGCTCACCGGTGTCTCCGTGCAGGAGCAGGTGGTGCGCGTGCGACAGCTCCTCGGCCACGGGGAAGGAGCGCACGTTCCAGTTGAGCGTCGTCTCGCGCTCCGTCAGCGCGCGGAATAGTGACGGGATGGGATCGGAGAGCTCCTCAACGGAGCTCTTGGCCGTCGGGTGCGAGTCCGTCTTGTTGCGTGGTTTGCACATGCCTAGGTCGGTGCAGGGCACGGGCAGGGCACAGGCAGGGCAGGCGGGTAACGCGCATCGCTCTTAACCCGTTCTGATGACGTACATGTCCGTCATAAGTTTTTGCTTCTGATGCCGTTCTGATGACGTAGGTGTACCTCATCAAAACTGAACCGGAAGAAAAAAATGAATTAACTTTATTGGTACCGAGGCTCCTACAAAGCCATGCGGGAGGGCGTGCGGCACAGTTTGGCACCAGCTATCATAGTGCGGTCATGTCACTATGGTCATCTGGGGTGAGGACTGTCTTTAAAAACAATGGCGTTATTCAATTTGTACTTGTAAATATTTTTTTCCCTCCTTTCAAAATCTCTAATAATAATAACTGAGTACAATATCATATGTGAACCTCCGATTAGCATCGTTGGCTACGTACGGTGCAATAGCAGTTCTACATACTGACTTGCTGGAGACTGAGGTATAGGCGGATATGTGAAAAGGTCGGATTTGTGAACTAAAGAAAGCGACCGTTACACCATTGCTGTGCTCAAATAGGCCACTGGACAAACAAAGTTCAAACTGTGTCACACAAGCGGCTGTACATGTTTGGTTATTACTATTAAGCACTCCCACTGCTCCGTACAGCAGAAGAATTTGAGCAGCTTTTCCACGTCACGAGAGATGTTGTTTGTGTGGCAGCGTGCGATGAACAAGAATGTACTCGCGTGTTGTACACAAGACGAGTCTGAGCAAATCGCCTGGAATGCGCCCAGCCCCAACGGACCTCGAAAGCTCAGCAGAGCTGAGCCTGGATCGTACTTGGATGGGCGATCATCATGCACAACAGGTCGGGCAGGGTTATTTTTTTTTTTACCAACAATGTTCCTGCACCTCCCTCTCTCTTCCCATGCTCTTGTTCAATATCAATGAAGTGTTCCACTCTCTCCAAGTCTCTTCTTACAACTTTTCCGTGGATAATAAATAAAATGTATAATGCGCATTCCATCCTAGGATCCCAATGGGCAATGCATGAAAAGCAGGAAAGAAAAACAGAACCAGGGCAACCGACCAAACTAAAGAAGAGGCAAGGCTCGTTTAAAGAGACGGGTTTTCAAAGCAGACATATCAACCGACTCTTGATTGTCTGATTTCAAGTGGCAAGGCGTTCCATGGCTTGGGTGCCACGCTAACAAAAGCTCGATCACTAAAAGTGCATATCCTAGACCTGGGAGTGCTGAGCAGTTTGAGATCAGAAGATCTTAATGACCTTGATGGAATATATAAATATATTAGTTCCTGCAAGTAATATTAATTGCAGTCCTCTTCCTCGTCGTTCTTGCATCACAAATCCTCGTCTGGGCACTCTGTCCCTGCCCAACCTTCCTCCATGTGTCTCGGGGGGTGCCGTGGTGGCGAGATGTTAACTACCTGGCCCAGTACAGAGGAGGTCGTGGGTTTAATCTCGACCCCCGACACCTGTGTATTTTGAGTTTGCAAGTCTCTCCCTCCCCGTGGTCGCGTGGATTTTTCTCCGGGTCCTCCGTTTTTTTTTCCCTCCACATTTAGAAACATGCGTTTAGAGTATTGGCTGCTATATATTTGCACATAAGCCACACGTAGTGGAGCTATTATTTGTGGCTATATAGCTCAGTGGGCCTTACCTGGTAAAATTGTAATAGTTTATAGTTAAAATAGTTGAGAGTTTCAACCATCACAATCTCGGCCATTCTATTTTACCTCCCGAGTTTATCAACTTTTTCCTGATGATCGAGTTCATCCTTGTGTCTCTTCTCGTTTTTGGCACCACACTTGTGAGATAGCCTAATTTATGTTTCCTGTGTTTATCCATCCTCTCTTGCTCTCTCTGTTCATGTTTCTGGTGCATGCATGACGGTTGCTATGAAAAACTTCACAAATCCAAATCTTCTGGCATTGTATAGGAATCTCTTCAAATACCAAACCTTTCACACCGCTGTAGGCGTTGTAGGCTGGATTATGCTATTCACCTCCATTTACAATTGGGTAACCTCAAGTACTGAAAAGTTATCTACCACTTTTAAAGTTTTTCCATTCAATTTTATATCTTCGTGGGTGTTTTGCTGTGCTTTGTCTCTACAATTCGTCTCTACGTGATATCAACCTCACTCTTTGCCATACATAACCTCATAGCAGCCTCTTCAAAACCATCTTTGTACAGGTCCAAGTGTTTCTGGCTCGATCGCAACATCCTCTATTCATTTGACTAGAATCTGCTAATACGACTCTATCATCTGCCCATATAACATCATCTGTGAAACGGTCATTGACGTCACATCCCAATCTCAGTTTACTACTTGTGGAAATCATCCGTGACCACTGTCAACAGTCGGCGTGACGGCAAACCACCACCCTGGGCTTACCCTTGTGTGAAATTCAAACCATCCGGAACATCCAAACGGTTCTTATGTAACATCCACACGTTCGTATCAGATTCCCATAAACTCGTGCGCTCACAGCACACTTCTCGTCATACCATCACCAGATTTTTCTGATCTTTTCTCACTCTTCTTCTACTCCTTGTCAATCGGATTTTGAACATCTTACCTCCACTCTGCAGATGTCATCGTCTCTGACTGTGCCCACTCCTGTAGGCACCCTCGAAGGAATTCACGTGGAGTCACGCTTCAATTCTCTGTGCGATTCACCAACCCCGCCTCCAAGCATATCGGATTTTCAGGACGGGTCATCACTGGTGGTGTTGCATGCTTGACATGGACCCTGGTGCAAAGGAATGATATGGGCAACCACCCCCCGCCACGTACCGACGTCTGGGCCCCTTCAGCCCGTAGGCCCTTGGTGCAATAGCACCGCCTGCACGCTCGATAGCTACACCACTGGTCATCGTACCGGACGGGGGTTACTCTGGCTCCTCCATGCCCCCCCCCACCCCATGTCCTTACCCACGCAGTCGCAGCAGTCGTCCCACATGGTGGACAGACACAGCATGCACTCGCGGCAGCACGAGCAGTTTCCCAGCGCCGGCTTGCACTGGCACAGCTCCTGAACGCGCGTGCAGGCACACGTGAACACACGCACGCTCACAGTTGTGTAACCCCTGTGACTGAACTCTCCATGACCTCTCACACTCACCTCCGATAACCTCACATCCATTCTCCTTGACCTCAAACTAACGATTACCTTTCACACCAACTTTCCATGACCTTTCAAACTCGCACTCCTTGACCTTCGACACACTCACTCCCCGTGACCTCTCACACTCTCCGTCACCTTTTCACATTCACTCCACGTGACCTCCCACACTCGTGAAATCCTCAACTGCCACGCTCCTCGCCATTGCGTGTCAAGCGAGGCCCTCTAGTGTCGCGCCGCTTCAGCTACAGCGTTTCTCGAGTATTGGGACTTAGATTAAGATCTAATAACATTTTAGGTTTTAAATATGTCAAATAAGTGAAAATCCTAAGGGGTTCACAAACATTTTCTCGGCACTGTATGTCTGTGAAACGTTAACACCTTCTCGAGAGCCTTGCGATAGAAGAATGGCGCAATTACCAAATGATGTAACAAAGTTTGCAATGCCGTTTTGGAGCTTTCAATGAAATCTCGTTCACTGCATCAATATTTCGACACCATGGTGTTATTGGTGGCTGTTGGCTGGTTAGGGTTACCGACAGTATTCGGTCGCGCGAGCCAAATTTCGTTTCTGGTGGTCACATCACCGCTTACCTCTCCCTCCCCCATGACCCCTCGCGCTCACTTACCTCGGGTTGCCACCTTTACCACTCTCGATCAAACCCAGACATATGCCTCATTCAGTCTAGGCCTAATAGACTCTGCAGTATACCATAATAAAATACAAATCAATGCCTGCCACCCCAACTGCCTTTTTGTGTTTAGTTTGTCGTCATTCCATCCCCCGCACCTCCGATTAGCACGGTCGGCGAAAGAAGTTCATCATGCATACAATCACGGATGCCAATTCCCAAAGTGTCCGGGTCCCACCTGAACAGGTGGCAAACCCTACGACGCACACTCACCCCTGATGCTCGCTAGGGCTCACGTCTCCCCGTACTCTGCGGGGACCCACAACCTCCCCTTGATCTCTGGGGGTTCACGGCTCGTGTCCCCGTCTCACCTGCAGGAGGCACTTGCTCACATCACTGGCGCACAGCACCTTGTTGCAGGCCCTGGCTGGGGAGGGCGGCAGCAGCAGCAGCAGGGAGCAGGCCAGGAGGCTCAGCGCCACCGCCGGAATGGGCAGTCTCATGCTGTTTGCTGCTCGTCACATGGGGAAAGAACACAGAGAGAGAGAGAGGTCTCCATTGGAGACATTGACACAGGCCAGCGGCTTGCAATCCGAAGGTTGCGAGTTCACATCCTGTTTGGGGGTCGACTCGGCCCAGCATCCCTCCGCACAGATAAAGTGCGTGCCACTTTGGTAGGGAAGCAAACAAGTGGTTGTCCTTTGGATAGACTCATCTCTGCCATAGGAATGTGGAATGTCCGCCACTTGCTCAGGGCCGCAAACAAGAGATGAATACGTGCCTCAACGGTCATCTGAGCAGGAAATCACTGCCTTTTTGAACATCGATGACAAGCGCACCCTACGTACCGTGTCTCCACATCAGACATGTGATCTTTTTGTATTAGTCTACCGGCCAATACAAAACGCACGTGCGTTTAAACAACCTGTGGACACGCACGTGGACACGCACGTGGACACGCACGTGGACACGCACGTGGACACGCACGTGGACACGCACGTGGACACGCACGTGGACACGCACGTGGACACGCACGTGTCCCGTGGGGAGCGGTGGTGTAGCGGTCAGCGCGCTGCGCTACAAACCCGGCCATCCGAGTTCGATTCCTGCTCGTGGCCAACACCCAGCGGCGATTATTTGAAACCGGTCCTGTGCCTCATCCCCTAGGTCGACTCAGCCTCAAATGAGTACCTGGTGCGGTGTGCAGTAAACATCGCCACTCGCGAGACAAAGGCGCTCGATAACAGCACTTGCCCCAACAGTTTGTCAAGGCTACACGGGGGATCTTTGTCTTTGCCCCGTGTTAGCGAGCACCTCTGAAGGCCAGCAGTGCACATTGAGAGGGTTGGTGGTTTTGTGTGCTCGAGAACCGCACCCTGGCCCGCCTTTGTCTCCCCAGTGGTAATGTTTATTCACTCGTAATCAATACACATCTACACAAATCGCAACGCGTATAAACAATATGCGGTAGATCCCATCAACTCGCTGTAACTTGTTGCGGGCAAACTTAAAATCATCGTTTCCGTGTCCATCATCATAGCACGTTCATTTGCACATACACCACATTCCAAGGCCGTAATTATAATATTGGGGGGGGGGGGGACATCCTAACCCCAATATTCAAATATGCTCAGAATGTCCCCCCCAATAAATTGCTATAAAATAGATTTCTGTTTATATGATTGTGGTTATGGTTGTACTTTATTTATCCCTAATCTCTGCCATTACATACAATGAAACAAGAAAAGGTAAAACAAAATAAAAACAGAGAAATGTAACACAATAAACTAATAGACATTATTGTAAAAAATAAATAAAAAGTCCATCCTATGTGTTAGTTATTTTTTAAAAAATATTTTAGGCAGGAAATTCGTTTTCAAATTTAGATTTTTTTATGGGGGGGGGGGACCTCCAGATCCCCTGGAAGATTTCCCCCCCCCCCCCAATGTTGACTCCATGGCTATGACCTTGCCACATTCCTAGGGTAAACCCACTGCTAGATGGAGGCATCGATCAGTGCGAATCGGCGAAGTTGGGGGCAGTCCCAGATTTCGATCCATAAAATAATATCGGTGTTTTGTGTAAGATCGCGTCAATATACATGTGTCGTTGAACCCAGCCACCACCCGACGCAGTTAGTTAAGGTTCGCCACGTAAACAAAACATGCCAATTCGTGACTAGTGCAGCAATGGGAGAGCAAATCCACAAACATTTCTGTTTACGTGACAAACCTCAACTAATTGGCCGTGTCGGGTGGCGGCGGGTTTCACGACACATTTATTTTTACGCGATCTTGCACACACACACACAAAAAACCTACATCGGTCGCGAAAGCCCACGAGTTAAACCGGTTTAGATATCACTCAAAAAAACAACAACAACAACAACAACGTTAGCCTCGGTCGGGGAATCTAACTCAGGTCCGGCCCCCGTTCACAGCGCAGTGCGATGTTGTGAACTTTAAAGTTCACGCGTCAGGTACACAACCAACATCGTGGCAACGACACGGTGCGATCACCTGCACCAACAAACATTAACACGCACGTGTTTGGATGCACTTGTGTGGCTGTTTAAAAAGAATGTTAGCCGCGTGTAAAAAGCCATCTAACCTCTCCTCCCCCTCCACCTTGATCAGTGCCATCACGAGCCGAGCTAGCGAGCAACTTTTTTAACGTTAACTCGACTTGGAAGTTTTTTTTTTATAAAACGACAAAAACATATCTAAAGCTAACACACGGACGACGACGACGATGATGATGCTGCTGCTGTTGTTGTCGTGAACTTTTGCAGCGTTGGGTCAGAGGGCACAAGCGGCTCTTAAATAAAGACGAACCACGGGCGTTTGTCACCTAGCAGGTAAGCGCCACTTGTGTTTTGTATTCCGAGAAGACGACATTCCCTCCGGACAAGAAGAATTCGCGGAGCGCAGAAATCAAAACCAAACTAACTTTTTTTTTTGCTCATCGCTTCCCGGCCGCGGCGAGCGTTTTACGGGGTTTGTTTAAAAAAAAAAGTTGCTTTCAAACGCTGGCAAGATACATCACCGTGCAGTTGTGTAAAACTGCGCATCTGTTTGAGCGTCGCATGGCTTTAACAACAGCAACGACGCAGAGAGACGAACTCGCGCGGCGCAAGTGCAGCCGCCATCGACTGCTGCGCGATTTTGTTTGAACGCGTGGAGAAGTCTCCCTCCATCTTCTACAGGCGAAACTCTCTCTTCCTTCACGCATTCTTTTGTCTCGTACTCACTTGTTCGGAGCGGGTGGTGGGTGGTTGGTGGTCTGGGAGCGACGCAAACCTTCTCCCGCGTGTCCCCCCCCCCGATTTTACGGGCTTCCTTCTCGCTCCGGATTTCACAACTGGGGGTGCCGCGCACCGCCACCGGAGCCCCCCACCCGGCTACAAGCGCAAGACTCCGGCCCGGCTCGTGGGAGAATGTGGTGGTGGTGGTGTGTGGTGGTGGTGGTGTGTAGTGGTGTGTGGGTGTCTTGCTCCCTCGCATCCCCTGCCGAGTTAACGAGTCTCGGGCTCTGGGCGAGAGAAGAGGGCGAGAGAAGAGGGCGCCCCTCCCGAGCACCACGCGCAGCAGCCCCCGGACGCGAAGGTTTTGTGGCAGGGCGAGAACGCGCGGGCGAGGCGGGGTTTTGGGTTTTGGGTTTTCTCACATGCGGGGCGAACGCGTTTTAGAGGGGAGGGGGGGGGCAAAGCATTTTCCCTCCTCTCTCTCTCCGTTGAATGGGAGGGGGGGTCAGTGCCAGAATATCCTAGGAGAAAAAGTATCTACATATGTAGTAGCTACGGGCCCCGCGCTAAATGCTTTCAAGCTATGAACACCGGTTCAGTGATTCTGCACTTGCTCTATTACTATAGTACTATACCGCCTTAAACTTTTATTAACGACTGGCTGTTTAAGGTTAGCGGTTTGTTTGTATTATCTGGCTGTATAGCAAATGAAAAAATACAATTACTTTACTATGCAAGTTATAATTTTGTACAAACATTATTTATATTATTATTTAGGGCACCTTTATAACATGCTACAGGCCCCTTACTAGCTTAATCCGGCACGGGAGGGGGGGGGGGGGTCCCATATTTTATACACGCGGTACTTATGGGGCTCTTCGCAGTCACATCTGGTAATCGCGTGGCACGCGTTTAACAGATCTGAATGCCGATGAGACCCAGATGGGCCAAGTAAGTTTGCTTGCTTAGACAAATGAATCATTTGGCAGGACCCCGGGGTCCTGCAAAAATCAAGTCAATAATTATTATTTTTCTTCAGTCCGCCCACTCGTGACCCCGCCAGCAACGCGCCGCCCGCCCAGACTCGCACCAACAAGCGCCACCAGCAGGCGGCGATCGACACGATGGGCGCCACCCCACCGGCCAAACGCGAGCCCCGGGGGGCGTCCGCCGCAGTCGCGCGCGGCGACGACGCCCTCCGGTCAGCCGTCGATCCTCAGCTTCTTTGCCAAGGCGAGTCCGCCGCCCCCCCAGGCAGTGGATTTAACGTGTTTATGTAATTTTTCAACTTTTTTCGAAACTTAGTGCCCCGAGTAGCTCTCGACGAGGCCAATCGATTGACGCTAGTTTTGTTGTCGGTAAGGCAAGACTCGTGTCGCTACGCGGTTTTTCCCACCCCGGGGCAGTGATGGGACCCCGGGGTCCCGCCAATTGCTTCAAATGCTGCTGTATTAATATTGGTTTGGAAAAGGCAGTACAGTAGGCTTGTCTAATATGCAAAGACACAGAGCGTAGATCTGTTTATTGTTCTCTTGGCTGCGTTAGGAGCAGAAACGTTTGGATAACTCGACGTTCAAGGAAGGGGCGAGTTTAGTTTGTGTCCACGCCAAAACACCATCTGCTTGTAAAACGCAACAGATAGATGAGTACATGTAGGCAAGAGACCACGGACAACATCACTCTTGTTCTGCTAGATGAAGACGGGTTTAAAACTTGGATGAATGTACTTGTTCACTGCCCACTTTAGTCATTCACTGGCAGCATTTGAGATATTCTCCAGACTACTTCTGAAGTCATATACTGGCTCACTCGCAAACGTTGATATGAACATGTGGATGTTCATTATCAATCCCCTCCCTGCCCGATAGTAATTTCAAATCATGAAGGTCAACTCAGGCATATCATGGTTCTGTTTCTCTGGCAGGCCGAGATTGGTTAAACGAGGACCAGGTGATCAGATGTAGTAGTGGAGAAGATCTGGTCCCTGTCATAATAACATGGAGTTTTCCCCACAGGCTTATGATGGTGCTGGAGCACAGACTTGGACAAATCCACGTTTGCAAGGATTGTTACTTCTCCTTGACATCTCAACCTACTGACTACATCATCACAAACTTCGTAATTATTGTGTGAATGGAAAGCCTCTGAAGCAGTATGTACCGGCTAAGTAGTCAAAAGTAATGAAGTTACGGTGCGCAAGTGTAGACATTGTAACAACATCAAGTATTCAGATTCAGTCCGGAGAATAAGAAAGCTGTGAGCTGCTTGACTGCAATTTTAATGTGTTGGTTTTAAATAAAATATCACGCATATTAAAAACATTCAATAACTTCAATCTCATGTTAACATAAAATATCGATTAAAGTAAAATAATTTGTGCAAAATAAATTTGATAATCTAAAATACACACTTTACAATATCATTTAAAATGTTTACAGTGCAAATTTCACGATTTTTTTCTGTGTACGGTGGAGAATGATCGGTAGCAGCAGCACCATGGACTGTAACGTCGCGTGACAAACGAGGAAGAGGTGATGTGAGCAGCCTCGCTTAACCTGGAAACGTAAGTTTTTACTTCAGAAAGCTTTGCAAGAGGTGTGTGAGGTCACTTCAACGCCGCCAATCCAAGATACTAAATTAATTGGCCAAACATCACACCTCGTTGAAAGCATCTCAAGACTCATGCTTGCCCTTAATAAACAATAATAATAATTAGGTATGTAACAATGCATCGATTGACTGCATCAGGGTTCAGAAACTTGCCCATTGGTTCAACTGCCACGCCCGAGACATCGGATCAAACTGATGACCTCTGGATTGCAAATCGAGTGTGCTAACCATTACACGATGGCAGCATACTTTTTTGTCCACACGCATCACAAAACGATTCCAACGCGCCAAATCACAGCAGGACAACAAACAAGACAACAAAGCGGCTTCGTGACTTCCCACATACACACGACCACGAGCACCACCCCCTGAACGAACGCTGCCCAGCGGTCGGGTGGCCCGGCAGGCACGCGTCGGTCACTTCTCGGCGGAGACCCCGCGCAGGTAGAAGATCCAGGAAGAGGCGGGCTGCTGGGGGCAAGAGACGGTGAGGCGTGCCGTGACGGGGGCCGCCCCGGGGGCTCCCTCGAACCCCACGACGATGGTGATGGTGCGCTTGGGCCGCACCGCCTCGCCGGCCGCGCGCACGCTGAACGCGGGGCTGTCGACGGCGGCCATGAAGGAGGCCGTCTGCGCGAACACGTTCTTGAAGGGGACGGAGACGGAAGAGCCCGCGCGCACCGTGAAGGGGCCCTGGGGCCGCGGCGCCGAGCAGACGCCCACCAGCGGGATCGTGTACTCCCCTCCCTGCGCGTGCACACGCTCCGATCGGTTATCATCGGCGCCGCGGGCTTCGTACAAGACTTTGCCGCACTACCGCCGCGCTGCCCACGGCCACATCACGCCGGAATGCGACAGATTCACGTCAGATCTCGGAAGCTAATCAGGTCTGAAGTGAGATAATGCTCGGGTGGGTGACCACCATGCATAATAGGGAGCTACGTGGTGGGCAGCAGAGGGCAGTGCAACAAAATCCATTGTATGTATGTGTGTATGTGTTTTGAACTTCTTTTGCACCGTACGTGGCCAACCGTGCTAATCGGAGGTGCGAGAGAAGGACAATAAGCTCCCACATCTATGTTCCCTGCCTTCAACAACATGCACCGATCATGAAGTATGGCCAAATAACCCCTTATCGAGCACTGGAATGGCAAAAGGGCTGTACATGTACGCATTAACTTTCCAGACGGAATGTGGTGGCCTGCGGTGGTGTGTTGGAACTGGCGCGTTGTGTTGCGGCTTTGTTTATTGTGGCTCGGTGGTGCTCGGCTCACCTGTGGCGAGGACAGGGTGAGCAGTGCCCGCGTGTCGCCCAGGTGGCTGGGTTCGTACAGCACATCCACGCTGACCTCTGTGCCTCCAGCTGCCCCCGGAGCTGCTGTCACCGTCTTCTCCACGTGGAACTCCCCGCTGGTGATCTGCTCCCGAGCCCAGATAAAGCACGATACTTTTTTTTCCACTGCATAAATCTTATGGACATCGGCAGTGACATAATAAGTGGTTAATTTATGTATACATTATACAAGGACATTACCATCATATGCATCTTACATTACCCATCGCTTTAGACATGGTGTACATTCAAAACAACAAAGCAAGTATCCATATATTTGTCAAGCAATAAATCGTCCCCGCAATGATTTGGTGACATTTTATTTGGAGTTGGCATTTGATTCAAGAACGTAACTTTTTTGGTCTCGTTTTTTCTGTTTCAATGTGTTCGCCCAAATTCGCCTAAATATAGCATAAGCATATGCTTTGCGTATAATATGTAAATGATCAATTGAATTCATGCTTGCACAATTCGATGCATGTATCTATCACGAGCATAGTAATCAATCTTAATCGATGAAACGATGCATAATTACATGGCAACCGCATGTGATCAATTGCACTCCTCCGTTTATAGGCAGGAGACGGCAAGGTATGCACGTTGAACTTCTTCTTTTGCACGGTACGTAGCCCACCGTGCTAATCAGAGGTGCAAGGTAAGCGAGTCCTCTCCAACTAATAAACTCCACGGTCACCCAACCCCTTAATTCATAAAAGCCCTCCTTCCGCAGGGGGGCGGGAACCCCCAAAAAGCAACGTCAAAATCCCGCTATTTGGCGAGCGGGTTTTTTTTTTTTCGGGCGGCGGGAGCCCCGCTCCGACCTTGCAGGCGTATTCGGTTTTCTGGCGCGAGTAGTTGACGAAGCGCGCCGCCTGCACGTGGCTGGCGCCGAGCGAAGCCCGGAAGTGGAGGGGCTTCTCGTGAGCGGCGGGCAAGGAGCGTAGCTGCAGGTCCCACGTGAAGGCGCCCAGCTCGGCGCTCTGCAGCACGAGCCGCCCGCTCGACTCGCCCACGCGCAGCGGGAGGTACTCCAGCGTGAGCCAGCCCTCGTCCTGTACGAACACGGGGGTGGAGGCGTCGGGGATTTGTGACGCGCGCGCGCGCAACGTGGGTTACGCGGCAAAACGTGCCGTTGAATGGACGTTTAACCGCCGGGCAAGCACATTACGGGCAAAAGGAGGGTTTATAAATCGCTTCTGATATGCTTTTGGCTCTGATGCACAGCTCGGATGGTATAACGTGGTCAGGAGCCTTCACAAAAATTATTTAATACTGTAGGCCCGATTAAGTGTTACTCCCAACACCATACTACAACAAAAAGATGATAATGGATTTCAAATGGAAAACTCTTAAGCTCAAGTGAAGCTTACTATCCTCCAGCTAAACCGTATACACAATCCATGAATCATATAGAAGCACAAGATATTGATATTCTCTCATCTTTGAGTTTTATGACTAA